GCTTGCGAATAGTGCACATTTAGCTAGTTCCGAAATATTTTATGTAAGCTCGTCACCACCGCTTTGGATTTCCAAAACGTGTTAAACCAGTTTCTTAGTCTGATGATAAAAAAAAAAACTACACAAGTATTTATTAGAAAAATCTCCGTGTGTATACGCGGTTTATGCTCTAGTATCATTTAATAAACGACATAGATCTAACGAAGAACAAGAAATTAGCCGAATATCAAAAGTCTAAATCTATTATTTTTCAATATCAATGTATATGAAAAGATGGAATCACGACATTAAAAAAAAAAAAAATACTTGTTTGCCAAATGATTTTAATTTCTGTCAATTACTTAGATAACTACTGTGTTTTTCTTTTTCTTTTTTTTTCTCTTGTGTATTGTGAATAATACTTTCACCCATACGAGGGGGGATCGCCTACGAATTTATATTTCCAAACGGAGAAAACGCCAGTTAATACCTTCTCGTCGTAAAAATAAAAGTGTACATGGACCCACATGCTGTTTAAGTTAAGGAAGAAATCCAAAGTGTACATGGACCCACACCATATCCTCGGAAAAGGAAGAAATTGAAACGCATGTTCAAACAAAGAATCGAATCAATCAACAAGCATTTTAAATAAAAATTCTTAAAACTCTCCGAAAGAATAATGCAAGAAATTTTGATTAGGTGGGAGCTTCGAATTGGATTTAATCATTCATATGATCCCTTGGAAGTGCCGTGTACATCAGTACATCTTGGTTGCTTGCTTGAGAAACAAGGTATTATCGCCATCTACCAGCTTAGAGCCAGTCATTTCCACATTGGACAACCAGTACAATCCATGTATTACATGTCCTGCTCTCGAGTTGTCTCTCCCGATCAATCCGCTCGTGAACAACATGCTTGCCGCTTGCTTCATCCAGTTTAAACGTAGCTTCATCCCCAAGTTTTGAGCCAAGATTCATTCAGTTACGTTAGATTGTCTTTCTTGATGGTCTAATGTACAAAAAAATATCATGGATATATATATATATACACGTACTTGGAAATTGGCAAAAGTAGCGGATGCGATGGCTACTCGTATAGCGTATGTATGATTCTTTTCAATGTTTGTGAGTTCGAATTCGATTTGCCATATTGTTGGTTTGACATGTTTTGCTATCATTTTTTTTTCACATGAAAATAAAACGTTACAATGCGGTTAGAGATGAGCAAAAAATTAAGAAATAAAAGATCAAGCGGAAGATGATGAGGAAAAACCTAGTGACTTGAGCGTAAGTAAAACAATTGTGAGTTTTAATAAGTGTTTAGTAACCAAATAACCATCTTCTAAGTAAGACTAAAAAAGCAGATCAAACTTTTGACATAAAGTACCAACTGAGAAAGAATGTGATATATTTCTACACGTATATTAATCAATTTATAAGGTAAAGACTGAAAACAACTCTGTGACCTAGTGATATGATTAACATAATCATGACATTCAAGACGAACATAATCATACATGAGTCATTGAAAAGGGCTCGTAGCAAGCGGCTGGGTTAGATATATGGTGTTATTTCCCGGGGGAAGAGAAGAAGTAGGGATGTTAGACTCTAAACTAAGAGTATAAGAATAATTATGATAAGCAGAAAAACGTCTAGAACGACGACGTATGGGTCGATCTTGGTAATGTATCTGTTGATTTTGGATCAGGACTTTGGTTTTGATGAGAGATTGTAATTTCAAACAAAGACATGAACATTATGATCAAACCGATAATCCATCCTCTTTGTCTCAACAAGTGTCTCCGGTAATCTTTTTTTGTCACATACGATAACGTTTTCTTAGGATTTGGGTTATCCTCTATATATTATATATTAATAGAAGAGACACTAGGTGAAAATCCTAGGTGTCATCTTAAGAGAGTTTTAAGAAATTCATTTCCTAATAAAAATTAGTAAAAATTATTAAAAATTCTTAATAACAAATATATGAAAATAACGAATATGTGGTAATTAATATAGAGAATTTTATTTAAAGAATATAAAAAATATTTGAAAATATCTTATTTTCTTTTCAATAATACTAGATTTTTTATCCGAGTAAAAAACGGTATTAAAATATTTAAAAACAAAAATTCATAATTATTTTTAATAGATGGGAGAAATGAAAAATAACAAAGATAAAATATTTTTGTGTATTTATAAATGTTAGAATACACGTCTAAGT